CCAAAATTCGTGCAAATCAAATGATTTTCAGGGGCTTTGGTGCACCATTTACCTAAAATCGGGCGAAACTATATATGGGAGCTATATCTAAATCTGAATCGATTGTCACGAAATTTACACACATCATTCTAGACTTAATTCAGAACGCTATGCCAAAATTCATGTAAATCGAATATATTTATTTGGTGTACAAATTACCTAAAATCGGTTGAAACTATATGTGGGAGTTATATCTAATTCTAAACCGATTTTCAGGAAACTTAGCATACATCATTCTTGACCTAATGTAGTAGGCTGTACCAAATTTCGTGCAAACCGATAGATATATAGAGACCATTTACATTAAATAGGACACAAATATATATATATATATATATATATGGGAGCTATATCTAAATCTGAACCTATTTTCATGAAACTTAGCACAATCATTCTAGACTTAATTCAGTACGCTGTGCCAAAATTGTGCAAATCGAATGATATATAGCGACATTGGTGTACCAATTACGTAAAAGTGGGCGAAGCAATATATGGGAGCTATATCTAAATCTGAACCGATTTTCTTGACCCAATTTAGTAGGCTATACCAAAAAATTTCGTGCAAATCGAAAGATATATATAGGGACCATTTCATGCATAAATCGACTCAGAAAGTTATTCTATGCTTATTCTCAAAAGGAACCATGGGTCTATCTCGATTTCTTTTGCCTGTTACAAACATATGCACAAAGTCATAATACCCTGAAACACAGTTTGGTGAAGGGTATAAGGAGTGCAAATGTGTATACAGTACTAATTTATGTATACAGTCCAAATTATTTAAATCGCTTCGTGCTCAAATTTTACGAATTCCGTCATCAGTAATGTGTACAGTACTATTTTGTGTATAGAGTCCACATTATTTAAATCTCTGCGTACTCGAATTGTAAAGTTCATAAAGGTGGTTTATGAACTTAGTAAACATCTGTGGTTTGTATAATTACTAACACTTTGCTATAATTACCAATTGCAATTCTTTGCTATAATGGCCAATTCTGATCTAAAAAGGGGGCAGTTTGTATGGGGGCTACTGTTTCCCCTGCCCCCATCAAAAAATTAAGTACCCTATGTTACCACAAATGTACTCAAAAATCGACTGTGAAAATTTCATGAAAATTCGTTCAGTAGTTTAGGAGTCTATAGCTAACACTGATCAAACAAACAAACAGAAATTGATTTTTATATATATAGATAGATAATGTAAACCATAATAAAAATTTCAGAAATTTTTAATTGATAATTCAAATTCGATGGGGAATATCGGTCCACTCCTTCTGAAACCTCCACACAGGGGCTAGGTCTAAATGCGGCTATATTTCATTATCGAACCTTACGTTCTAATTTTTTATCTCGCTATCCACCGCAGGTGAAATCATTACAATAGAGTGTTAGAACCAAACTCAAAACGCGGAACAAATCAGATAACTATTTTAATATCTATATATATAACAATGAATTGCTGTTCGTTAGTCTCGCTAAAACTCGAGAACGGCTGAACGGATTTTTCTGATCGTAGTCTTGAAATGTTCGTGGAGCTTCAGGGAAGGTTTAAAAGGTGAGAAAAGATCGAATAATTGCCGGAAATCTCTAAAAAGGTGACTTTTATATTTCCCATACAAATGTTTTCTAAATAAAATGTAGATTCATACATTCAATTTGCTTTTTTTGTCAGAATTTTTTTTTAAGTTTGATAAATTTAAAATTTTTTCACAAATTAAGTTTCTGAAATGATTAAGTTTCGATTACCGATACGTGCGCGAGAACTTTCTTTACTTTTGTGATCCTTCGAGATAGTGACCCTGTCATAGTTACACTATTGTTCGGCATCTTAACGTCATTAATTAATAACGTTAAGATGCCGAGGAGATGGCGACCTGACTTAGGTCGTCCATAGAATGCAAGTACATTTTGGGACTAATGCAAGGATGGAAAATCAGAAGAGATTCTGAATCGAGTTCGTGTCTATTCAGGGTATTCTGATTCTAAGATCCATGCCCTTGATTAATTTGTTTGAAAATAATAATAATAGGAACATGGTGTTCCTTAAAGTTCCTGAAATTTTGCTATGCCACGGGAAATATCAAATCAGGCGGTTATATGCCTAACCGTTGTTCAATATCTTTGAACTTTTAAACACCTCGCATATATCCGACACCAAAAATTTTTATCACAGTGTAATATACGAGATATCTTCTTTGCAAAAATCTATCATTAAGCTCAGCTGGAAAGAGAACAACAAACAAAAAACCAGCAATTTTATAAAAATTAGCGATGAAGTAGCGACTTGAAGATTATACGAAAACCTCCGTCCGATGTTACCCATTCGTATTGAACGTTAAGCTGTAGTGCAAAATTCCTGGAATGATGTTTTTTCACAGGAATTCATTATGCCTAATTATAGCCAACTCTATTAGGAAATTCGGTCAATGTATTTATAATACTTTATAATAAATGGGGTATTATGCTATAAAAATGCTGTATCAAAACTCGGACCTAAGGAGATACTTTGTCGCAAAAATGTGTCTCCCCCCAATATCCCGGAATGAACTATTTTAACTACAACAATTATTGGTAGGAAGATTTTACACAACATGAGAAATTACGGGGGATACAATTATATGGGTGGAACCCACAAACTTTGACCAATATTGATAATTCTTTGTAAGGAGATTTTATAATGTGGAGTTCTATTATATGGATTTCGGAAGCTTTTTTCTACTTAATGATCATCCAAATAGTATAAGTATCCCCTATATTAAACTAAAAACAATTCTGTTGAAAACCGTGCCTAAGATCTTCAAAATACCGAATGTTATGGACGGTACACCGAAACATGGGCCAATATTGATAATATTTGGTACGGTCACTTTCTGCGCAATTTCAATGTATGTGCAAATTTCAGAGCACTATCTTAAAGATAATTTAATATTGTTATGTGAATTATACATCAACAAAATTGCTATGCAAGACAACGTTTGCCGGGCCGGCAATGTTGAATGTTGAAATGTTCGTGGAGCTCCAGGGAAGGCTTAGAAGGTGAGAAAAAGTCAAAAACCGCGAAAAATTTGCAAAAAGTATTTTGCAACATATTTGCATTTTCACGAATTTAGTATCGAGCTATTTGACTTGCACCACGTCGTAGTTGTTATTTTGAGATATTTTTGGCGAAAATCGGCCTACTTCGGCCTTTAAGCCTACATTTGTCAATTATTGAACAACAAATAATTGAGAAGTATATCATATCACACTCAGGTTGGAAAACGGGAATAAGAACTTCAACATACCGAAAATTGAACGGGAAATAATTATGACGTATTTCTAAAACGTTAATCTATAGTCCATAATTTCTGGGATGGTGTTTTTTATTCACAGGAGTAGTAGCAATGCATGTGCAAATTTCAGAGCAATATCTTAAATCGTGGAGTGTAGCTTAATATTGGGCTATCATGAATTATGTTTGTGAATTATACATCAACAATAATGCTATGCAAAACAACGTTTGCCGGGCCCGCTAGTAATATTAATAATATTAATAATTAATAATTTTTGGTAGAGAGATTTGTTACCATATACAACTACAAAATACCAAATTGCAGCAAATTCGGTTGAAAACGCGCTCAAGAAGAGACATTTAGTACCCAATAAGAACCCAATGTAGCAAATTTCAGCGAATTCGGCTGAAAAACGCGCTCAAGAACCCCAAAATACCGAAAATTGGGGGTACCCTTATGTGGGGGCTACCCGAAAAAATGGACCTATATTTATAATTTTTTGTGGAGAGATTTGGTACCTATTAAGAACTCAAAGTACTAAAGTGCAGCCAATTCGGTGGAAAAAACCCCCAAAATACTGAAAATTAGGAGGTACCGTTATATGGGGGCTACCAGAAAAAGTGAACATTTAGTACCCAATAAGAATCCAATGTACCAAATTTCAGCGTATTCGGCTGAAAAACGCGCTCAAGAACCCCAAAATACCGAAATTTGGCGGGTACCCTTATATGGGAGCTATGCCTAAACGTAGACCGATATATCCCATCTTCGAACTTGACCTGCCTGCAGACAAAAGACAACCCTATGCAAAATTTCAGCACCCTACCTCAATGCCTTCAGAAGATAGCGTGATTACAACAGACGGACGGACATGGCTAGATCGTCTTAGAATTTTACCCTGATCAAGAATATATATACTTTATAGGGTCGGAAATGAATATTTCGATGAGTTACAAATGGAATGACAAAATTAATATTAATATACTATGGTGGAGGGTATAAACAGCTGATATTTTGAAATTTGAATATTTAAAAATTGGCAATATTGGACATATGTTTGTCCATTTGTTAGAGATTTCGGACAAGTTTGGGCACGTGTTTCAACCGAATTGGCAACTAATTTATATTTTGGTTTCTAATTTAGTGCAATCTCCCTACCAAAAATGATCAATATTTGTATATGTTTCCAGGTAGCCTCATATAATGGTACCTCCGTTATTTTTTATTTTGGATGTTTTGAACACATTTCTCGGGCATAACTACTAAGGTGTACTGCCGGTTACTTGAAAAGAAGTAGTTCAGCCCGGGCGAACTTAAAGCATTTTTCATTTAATTTTATAAATATAGTTTATATCAAGCAATTATCATCAATAAAAATAATTCAGATTATCGTGAATACATTTTGCAACAAAGTGTTTCAATTTCAATATTAATTGCCGAAGAGAATATAAAAATCCAAAAGGGCAACTTCTGTCTTAATAAAGTTATCAAACGAAATATGTAAGAGATTGTTCAAATAGAAAACAATTCGTATGAAGTAACAATAGAGGTTAACGTTTTCAATTTTAACTAAAATTGACTTTAACCCGAATAGTGCTGTAATTATTTTTTTCCAATTAAGGACGAAACTTTCAGCGTTTCAGTAGTTCACACCAGATGGTTTATTGATCGTCTTATGAGTGTGCCCATATGGTCACAGCTCGTGTTAAGCCCTTCATCGAATTTATTATACTGTAGTTATCATGGCTATTACAACAATTACCCCTTAGTAGATATAAAGGTGTGACTATTCTACAGTAAACATTTAATAGTACGCGGAGGTTCAATCGTCAAAGACGTGCGCTTCAATCGGTTGGAAAATGTAATTTTTGTATATTTTTGTGTTGTGCTATTTGTGTGTGCGTGGCTGTACTGGTTGTGGACACGGCGAAAGTACTACGCCTTAATATTTAAACTACCAGGACGGATGGGTTATCCCCTTGTTGGTGTGGCGCTTGAGTTAGCTAAATATGGTTTGTTCAAAAATTTCTTATATGAAGGAGTTGCTGTAATTTAAAATTTCGGAGAAGTAAATTTTATACGAACGTAATATAAGCGTATTAAAAAATTTTCAAAATATAAAAATATCTATTAAGGTCTGGCGACCAAAAAAAAGTATAACAGTCATTTGATATGACGTGTTTTGAATGTCTCACGCATAAATGTGCCCATACAAATGCTTATCGGGTTTTTCGCAAAATAAAAGATATCTGTCTATTTTTATACCCTTCACCACACTGTGATACAGGGTATTATGATAGACCCATGGTTCCTTTGAGAATAAGAATAGAATCACTTTTGCCCGTCTGACTGTCTGTCCATGTTAAATTGTAAACAATGTTCAGTTCACATTAATGATCCGAATTGGATGAAATTTGGCATGAATTTGAAATTGGGAAAACCCGTTTCGGATTTACATATAGCTCCCATATATAAGCTTCCATATTAAGTAAATATTTTTTATAAATGGTGCACCAAAGACTCAAAGATAGGCTGATAGCCACAAAATTTTGAACAACGTACTGAAGTTACTATAGTATAACGTGGGTCAAGTTTTGTTGGACTCAGTTCAGATTTACATATAGCTTCCATATATAGTTTCGTCCAATTTTAAGTAAATGGTGAACCATGGACCCAACGATGGCCGATTGACACAAAATTTTCCACTTCGTACTAAAGTTTGTGTGGTGTAACGTGTGTAAAGTTTTGTTGAAATCGGTGCAGGTTTGGATATATCTCCCATATTGGGACGGTATAGGTCCTATCGATATACATCGAACAACTGTTTGATTTAGTATACCTGCTTGAAGAATGATAAAATTGTCCATACTTATTTATTTATTTTTTTTGAATTAATATTACAATTTCGCTCACATTTTTTTAAACTTTCACATATTTCTCAAGAACCCTTGGAAGCGGTACACAAATACACTGAAACATTTGGCCCATTGAGGTATGTATGGATGCTTACATATCCGATATTGCTTATAAGCGAACCGGATATTATCCGTGATATATTAACATCGCCTTGCTGTACAAATAAAAATGACTTCTATAAATCGATTGCCATAGGTGTTGGTAAAGGATTATTTTCTTCCAAAGGTAAACAGAGACAAATTAAACCTTCATTAAATATATATTAATCAGGATACAAAATAAGATCCAGAATGGAGCGTTCACAGGAAACATTTGAATCCTGCGTTTGGTTTTAAAATATTACAGAGTTTTATGCCGATCTTCAATGAGGAGGTGAATAATCTTGTAAATCTGTTCAAAGAAATCAATGAATGTCAGAATGTGGTAACTTTGTTGCAGGATTTTACATTGAATGTCGCCATAAGTGAGTTTAGATTCTCATGTTAATTCCTTTGCGATTAAAGTTTTGCTGTATTTACAGGAACAACAATGGGAGTTAATTTCGCCCATGAGTTTGGATCTGAATCAAATAGTGCTATAACCAAAGGCTATCAGTGGATTCGGAGGTTATTGGGTGTGTACGAGCCATTCCACTCCAGCAATGAAGAAAATCGCAAGTTTATTAGGAAGGTGAGTACTCTATACTTTAATCCTCTATTTGTAACCTAGTTGAAAAACCTTATACTTCACATGAAAAATCCCCACCTAATATATATATATATATATACATATACATATATACGTATCAAAGATCGTAATATTTACAACCAAATTATATTACAGCTCATAAACAACAAACTAAATGGAAATGATGGCACTAATTTGAATCAAGGAAAGTCAAAGAATAGTAACATTTTTATTGATCAAGCCATTGAACTTATGAGAAACAATATCTTTGCAGAGCAGGATGTGGAAAACGAATCAAATACAATTGTTCTCGGGGTAATTTATGTTCTATAGGAATCCAATTCAACTGTTAATGTTAAATGTTTTATATAATTTGTGTGAAGGCTTTCGAGACGACGGCTAATACAATTGGATATGTTCTTATTCTGCTTGCAATGTTCCCGGAATATCAACAAAAAGTCTACGAGGAACTACTAACCATTTTTCCAGATGGAGGAGAATTTGAGGTGACCTATGCTAATACTCAAGATATGACCTATATGGATATGGTTATCAATGAATCTATGCGTGTACTGACTCCTGTACCTTTCGTAGGTCGTGAGAATTCACACGACATCGAGCTATCCAATGGAATAGTTATACCAGCGGGAGTAAACCTTTTAATTAACATTTTTACCACGCATAGACGTAAGAATTTGTGGGGACCCAACGCTGACCAGTTTGATCCCGACCATTTTTTGCCTAGTAACATGGAAGGCAAACATCCGTATGCATTTATTCCCTTTACAAAGGGAATTCGGAACTGTATAGGTAGGAGGATAATAAATAAATAAATTTTATTTTTAGAATGATTTCTTTTTTTACCTATAATACAGGATGGAAATATGGTCTAATGTCTACGAAAGTAACTTTGGCAAAGTTATTAAGGAATTTCAAATTTTCCACCGACTTTCAATACGCTGATTTGGAATTTGATTATGCAATTGTTCTGAAGTTAAAGCATACTCCCGTTTTGAGAATTGAAAATAGATAAATGTAGACAGGTATTGAATATTGTACTACGAGGGTAGGGGTAGGATATGGAAATTTGGTATATATAATTATCTATTAAAAATAAATATTTATTTTTTTAACTTAGTACTAAAGTTTTTTATAATAAGATTTAAGCTAGATAACAAGTAATGTGAATAAATTTGAAGCGCCCAATGACGTGTATCTTCAGAGGAATGCGACGAATTTGCTATAATTTGGTTGCCATTGGGTGTTAAATCTTCCTACCAAAACTTTACTATGGCATAACCCACCATGTATTTAAAGAACCGAACTATTATTAGTATTTGAAATGTACACCTCATGGTTGAGGGTATCAAAAGATCGGCTGCCGAACTTAAATACGTTTTTACTTGTTAGTAAGTAAATTGGATTATTATCAACAGGCAAAAGTTTATTCATTCCTACTACCGAAAATCATTTTTGTGTGAAAAAATCACAACGTGTTCTGTCTGGTCAAAATCTGACCAATAGGAACAAAACGTACGGAAATTGGTATAACCTTGTATGTGGTGTACATTATTGTTTACATGATCGGTTTGAAGAAACGTCGGCATAAGTCCACCTTTTGGTACATATGGTAGAGGGTGTCCAAAGTTCGGCCGGGCCGACAACTATGTTGTTAGGGTATTATAGCTTTGTGCAGCCCCAAGAGTTTGTAACGCTGCGAAATATTGGTCCTAGATCCAGCTTTAAGTATACCGAGTCGATTTAGACATGTGTGTCCGTCCGTCCGTCTGTCCATTATAATTTGTAAACACGATACAGGCCACAGTTATGGACCAATTTCACGAAATTTGTAGGATGAGTTGTGGCCAATGAAGACCCCTATTGTTTTTGGTAAAGATCGATTAGTATTTAAGGGATGAAATGGACCAAAAACTTTATTCTTCAGATTTTCTGGTCGCTCCAGAGGCCGCCATTATGGCCAAACATCACGAATTTTTACATGGAGAAGGGGATTGGTCAATATTAAGCGGATCAAATGGACCCTGACATTTGCGTGAAAAATGACAAAATTTGTATTCTATAGCATATATATTTACTACTGAAGGACATAGAACCGAGAAGTTGATAGTATTTCGAAGAGGAGTGGTTGGCCTTTAAATTAATACCAATTATATTGTCGTATGTACTCGGATGAGGGAGTAACACGTAAATATTTATAATTGCTTACGTATTATTAAATTATTACGTATTATTTAATAAACCATTAACACACTACAGGGGTTCCAGTTATGATCAAGGACAACGCCTATAATTTTCGGTGATGATCAGATAATAATTTTGGGATGAAGTGCACTAAAAACTTTTGTGTGTGTGTGTTTTTTTCTATTTAATCTTTAGGGTACAATTATAAGCCGAACATCACAACACAACCCACGGTGAAGGGAATATGGACAAGTAATTAGTAGGGCTGTAGCAGGGACGTACGCAGGGGGGAGCCCGGGGGGACCGCCCCCCCCCCCCCAAATAATTTTTTTCCACACTAAATTTATGTTTGCAACAGCGATTTTTTTCATTTGGTAAGGGGATGCTGACATACTAATTAAACAGGATTTAATTAAAGTATTGAATTTATTTGTATCATGGTCAATGCATAATAAAGGTACCATATTATTAATTTGTAAGAAGCCTTCAGATAATTTTTATGAGTGACGATGGTGATAGTTTATGTTGAATTAATAGTTTGGCATCGCTTCTGGTTAAGTGTTTTCCAAAAATTGTTCTGTCGGCAGTCATTGAAATCTAGGTTCAGTCGGAATAATGAGAAAAATTACAACAACAAAATATATAATCAATACTTTGCAATGACACAAAGCAAACGAAAAACAGGACTATTTACATGACATTGGATGAAATAAAATATGTGATATTTATCTAAATGTGAATCGACTTAGATCTATCCATAAACATACCATTCGTTTGTTACAATGGGACAAAAGTATGTAAATAGAGGAAGTGATGCAAATGTGGTATAGTTTGGTAATGTGGTATAGTCACTTTTTTTGTAAACTGAAAATTTTAGAATAACTGAAACATGTTCTATAGATTGCTGTTCTCAAAAAAATAAGATAGCAATGACCTGTTTAATTTATTTAAATCGCGTTGAGAATCAGTACCAAAAATAAAATTTTTCATGAAATTGACTTTTTTTCGGTTGAAGTTTAAAAATATTTTTTTGTTTTACGGATGTAATTTAATCGTTATTACTAAAGCATTAAAATAATTAGTATGAACTAAAAATCAAATAATATGCGCGATTGCACCACATAATCACAAATTTAGGAAAAAAATTAGTCATTTCTTCAGTAAACACAAGTGTAGGTAATGTGGTATACCTTGATTCTGCATGGAAAAAGGCCAGCACTAGACAAAATTTCATTACTATGTAAAACATTCGTGCTCTACGAGAGTCTACCATAAATCACTAGGATGAAAAACAAAGGCTATGAGTTTTAACAACTTCTCCATACAAAAATTAAATATTGCCGTGTGTAGACATTATTATATAATAAAAATTAAAGTTGCACTCAAGGTATCCGTTAAAAATCTTAACAGACATAAATCTCGAGCTAATTCGCATTCATTAAAAACAATAAATTATATAAAATATCAATTGGAAGTGAAAATTATACTATACCACATTAACATCATGTGGTATACCACATTAACTACACTTTTTTTAAAATCACTTTTTATGGAATTTCAAATATTTTCTCAAATATCTCTTAAATTGTTAAAATAATACTATTTTCAAATTGATACATGGAAAGACAACACATGTAGCATGTTAATTGTAAAATTTCAATTTAATCGGATAAAAAACAAAAATTTGGCAATCGAAAAACAAATGGGTATACCACATTTGCATCACCTCCTATATATATATATATATATATATATCAATAGGCCATCCGTTGGGCTATGTCTGTACTCCCAAAAAAAGGCAACTAAGTAATTCTATGCTCAATTTTGTACGTTGTGCAAAATTTGATGTCAATCTGACTAACATGAGGAATTTCATGCCCAATTTCCTTAAAATGGGGCGAAAATATATATGGAAGCTATATCCAAATATGAACCGATTTCATCGAAACTAGTCACAGGTTAGGTTATACTAATTTCAGTACGTTTTGTTCCTATCAGCTATATATAGGTCCCTTGGTGCGTCAATTTCTTAAAATCAATCTATAATATAAGGAAGCTATATCTAAATCTCAACCGATTTTCACGAAACTTGGCACACATCATTCTGGACTAATTTCAGTACGCCAAACTTTCGTGCAAATCGAAAGATATATGTGGACATTGGTGCACTATTTACCTTAAATCGGACGAAACAATATATGGGAACTATATTTAAATCTGGACCGATTTTCACGAAACTTGGCAGAAATCATTCTATGCTAATTTCAGTACGTTATGTCAAATTTCGTGCAAATCGAGGGATATAGAGGGACTTTGGTGCACCATTTACTGGAAATCGGACGAAACTGTATATGGGAGCTATATCTAAATCTGGACCTATTTTCACGAAACGTGGCAGACATCATTATAGGCTCAATTCGGTACGTTATGCCGGTGCATAATACCAAATTTCGTGCAAATCCATAGATATATAGGGTCTTTGGTGCACCACTTACCTTAAATCGGACGAAAATGTATATTGGAGCTATATCTAAATACGGACCGATTTTATCAATAATTGGCAGACATCACTCTAGGCTCAATTCAGTACGTTATACCAAATTTCGTGCAAATCGAGGGATATATAGGGACTTTGGTGCACTATTTTCATGAAATCGGACGAAACTATATATTGGAGCTATATCTAAATCTGGACCGATTTTCACGAAACATGACAGACATAATTCTACGCTAAATTCAGAATAATATGTCAAATTTCGTGCAAATCGAAAGATATATAGTGACTTTGGTGCACTATTTACATGAAATCGGACGAAACTATATATGGGAGCTATATCTAAATACGGACCGATTTTATCGAAAATTGGCAGACATCATTCTAGGCTCAATTCAGTACGTTATACCAAATTTCGTGCAAATCGAGGGATATATAGGGACTTTGGTGCACTATTTTCATGAAATCGGACGAAACTATATATGGGAGCTATATCTAAATACTGACCGGTTTTTTCGAAACTTGGCAGACATCATTCTAGGCTCAATTCAGTACGTTATGCCGGTGCATAATACCAAATTTCGTGCAAATCCATAGATATATAGGGTCTTTGGTGCACCATTTACCTTAAATCGGACGAAAATATATATGGGAGCTATATCTAAATCTGGACCGATTTACACGAAACTTGGCAGACATCACTGTAGCCTCAATTCAGTACGTTATACCAAATTTCGTGCAAATCGATAGGGACTTTGGTGCACCGTTTACATTAAATCGGTTAAATATATATATGGGAGCTATATTTAAATCTGAACCGATTTTTCCCAATTTCAATAGGGTTCGTCCATGGGCCAAACTAATGAGCTGTGCCAAGTTTCATCCGAATCGGATTATAAATGCGACCTGTACTTTGTTTACAATTTAACACCAACAGACGGACGGACGGACATGCATAAATCGACTCAGAAAGTGATTCTATGCATATTCTCAAAAGGAACTGTGGGTCTATCTCGTTTCTTTTTGCCTGTTACAAACATATGCCCAAAGACATAATACCCTGTACCACAGTGTGGTGAAGGGTATAATTACCATTATTCTTTCTTCATATCAATTAGTATACAGTGAACTCTCGATAATTTGAACCCTCAAGCTGACATTAAAGTATCACGGAATCAGCGGTAAATAAACCGGTCGAATCGAAAATATGAACTATGTCTACATTAATTAGTTCACTTTATCGTGAGCTCACAGCTTTAGATATTAACATTATCGAGAGTTCACTGTATGCTTCACATGATCATTTCAATTACCAGATTATACGCAGTTTGGGAAAG